TATATATATATATATATATATATAATGTATATACTCACTGCTGGCAAGTTTATTAGATACACCTTGCTAGTTTCCCGCCCCCCCTTGTCTATAGAGCTGCCTTATTTTTTCATGGCGTAGTTTCAACAAGGTGTTGGAGACACTCCTTAGAGAGTTTGGTCCATGTTGACATGATAGCATAACGCAGTTTCTGCAGATTTGTTAGCCGAACCTCTATGATGCAAATCTCCTGTTCCACCACATGCCAAATGTACTCTTGAGATTTGGTGACTGTGGAGGCCATTTGAGTACAATGAACTAATTATCCTGTTCAAGAAACCAGTTTGAGATGATAATAGACGTGGTGCAATATTCTATTGGAAGTAGCCTTAAGAAGATGGGTTCACTGTGGTCATAAAGGGATGGACATGTTCAGCAACAATACACAGGTAGGCTGTGGCATTTAAACAATGCTCAGTTGCTACTAAGGGGCCCAAAGTGTGCCAAGAAAATATCCCTCACACCATTACAGCATAACCAGCAACCGTTGATACCAGGCAGGATGGGTCCATGCTTTCATGCTGTGTTTCCAATTTCTGGCCCGACCATGTATATATTTAAATATTTTCTTTCCCTGCACAAAAAAGTCAGCTCAATATGGTTATCCTTTTATAACAATGGGCTGGGTTATCCATTCCTTCAAAGTATTGGCTCTGATGACTCAGCTGACCCGGGGCAAAGGCTATGCAGTGCACTATAGGTCGTTCCTTATTTCTGGTGGTGAACCTGTGAATTTTACAGCCAAAAATCCTGGGAATTAGCCTCAAACCCATGGTAGCGTTAAACCTGAACCACATCCCCAGTACTGATATCCTCCAGCCTCTTTCAGACACTTCCTGTCTACATGCACAGAGCCAGCTGCATGTCATTGCTCTGGTGTTATGATAGTGATAATGGGGGACCAAGCCTGTGCAATGTGTGCCAGCATTGCTACTTGTATTGTCCCCCAGAAGCTCATGTGATAGGGTGACAATGCAGAAGCAACAATAAGTACTTCTGGAAGGCCTGATTCTCACTTGGTGTCATTACTTCTGGGAAGACTCACTCACTCAAGTGTCAGATTGGGCCACGTGTTGCCACCTAGTGGTGCTTCATTTTAAAATGTATATCTGCAACAAAAAAATTTTAGAGTTCCCCATGTATAAAAATGCTTAATAATGCTACAATTACTGAAAAATACCTGTTGATCCTGACAGAAATGCACTTAGCTACAAAGTTTCCTATGCCATTTGCCTCTGCTTTACTGAAATCCAATGCAGTGTTATCAGCCCTACACAATTCTCCCCTGTGGACTACAGATCAGAGAGGACTGTGTTCTGTAGTCCAGCAAAAGAGAACTGGGCAGGGCTGACAACACTGCTTGGGATTTCAGTGCAGCCAAGGTAGCGTTGTAACCTTAAACTGCAACTCAGGAGCTCACTGGATTTCTGGCAGATCATCAGCTATTTTTTGTACTTGCATATTTTTTAAGGGGATAACACATGGGAAAATGTGCAGGTATTGTATATATGATATATACTGCATATGTTTTATGCTCAGACATACACTTTAAGTACATGCCACATTCCAAATAATATTCTCTAATTTAAAATCCCGAACCTCCAAAGCAGAGGTTGTCTTGATGGACTAATGTCTTTATTCAACCTCAAATACTATGTAACTATGTAACTATGTCTGTAGTATTATTATAATTATTATTATTAGCTCTATATATTTTTTTGGGGAGGAAATCTAAAAATTAAAAAAAATAGAAAAATGATAAAATATTAAGATAACTTTATACTCAACAACAGTGAGCCTTGATATGGTCTACCTTGGCTGCAGGTATATGCCAAATGTTGGAGATCAGCAGAGCCTCTAGTAGTATGTACAGTTACGTACAATAACAGCTAGCTAGTTCCTTTGGGGGAAATCACGGAACAGACATATGTTGGAAAATCTCGGTATGTAATTACTAAGCTTGTAACTACTCATTACTGCTTGGGAACCGATCTCTATACAGCATGACTGTAGCAAAGCGTGCAAATATAGACCATCAGGCATGAGACTCTGGACCTTCCTATACATAGAAGGGAATTTAACAGTGCTGTGTGATTGTGATTGCAAATAACCGTGCCTGGAATGCACAAGGATGGTTTGAAGGGGCAATCAGTCATGTCGGGGGGCAGCAGGAGTCCCTCAGCTACCTGTAAACCAGCTCACTGACACCACTGGTTTCCAGGAGCTGAGCGGGATGCTCTGGCTGGTGTCCCGCTGAGCTCCTTGCAACCAGTGATGTCAATGAGCTGGGCGGGATGGACCCAACGCCTGTGTCAGCGACTCCGTCTCCAACTCTCCCTCCTCGTAACATATGAACAGCCAACAACCCCCTTCCCTAGGCACCGAAAATTGTAGGGACGCCTCTGGTCCGGTGACAGGGTCTCTTTAAGCACAGCTTACATGACACTCCACCAAACTGAAAGGGTTAGGGTTGCCACCTGTCCAGGATTCACCCGGACAGTCCGAGTTTTGAACGCTGTGTCTGGGTTTCATGGCAGCTGAAACCTGGACACATGATGTCAGGCAGACAGGGGCAACAAAATTAAGATAGGGACTACTGGCCCCCCTCTGGAAATAGTCTTGAGTGTGATATTTACATATGAATGGTTGACATTATGTACATATGAATAGAACACTATGTACATATGAGTGTTTGGGTTTCGCTGGAAGAAAAGGTGGCAACCCTTGAAAGGTCTGTACAAATGTAGATGGGTGTTTTCTATAAGCAATATTTGGGCCACAGTTGCCACAGGCAGAATGGAGGCCAAAAGACACAGATGCTCAATGATCTTCGTCATCCAGCACTCATGTGAATCTAGCCATAGGAAACCCATCCCAAGCACCATTGACCGCTGCTAAAGTAAGCAAAACCCATCACCTCTCCTCACTTCCAGCTTGGGACCCACTGCAGTCAAACTACATGATGCTGGTTGTAGTCTGTCTGCACATCAGACTTCCCTCTGATATATCCATGCACCCTTGTTGAACCCCCTTCCCCAGTAGCTGATAACATTAGCAAATTATTTCCAGGGACACTCTGCTACTGAACCAAGTACTTATTCTAGCTATTCCCTATAATAAAGATGATCAGCACACTACGCTACTGCAATGAGTTATTAAATACTTTCAATTCTCTCTTGAAAAATAATTCTGATCAAAGCCAAGAAAAACATAAAGATGATAAAAAATGAATGTAATGTTCATGGAAAAAATGTCCAAAACCAAGTCCAGAACATGTCCCTAGAGATAAGTCTTCTAAACCTGAGCCCTGGAAATCGGAGAGAGGCAATTACGTCACCCCCCACCCCACCCCCAGACATAAGATAGCGTGTGAAGAAACAGGCAATTTGCCTGCGAAAGTTTGCCATAGAAGAATGCCCCCAGGTAAAATCAATCTGTAGACATTAAAATGAAGGATAAAACTACTCCTGTGTGTTCTACATACGAAGGAAAATTATGGGAACGTCACTCAAAGCCACTAATACAAATTGAAGAATAAAAGGAGCTCAATTCCTTCATTTACAACAATATAGACACATATTGACTTATGACTGTAAATCCTTCTTAATAAAAAATGTCCTGACAGGTGAGTTAAAATCAATTTGTAGAGCTGAAAGCTTTTGGCCATGTCCAGTCTATCTATCCAGTTCAAGATCTCTGACCAATCGTATAGAATCCTAGACATGTAACCCCGCAAAAAATGTGTTTCATTTCGGATTGATTTGGATTTTTATTTATTTTTTAGATTTCAGATACGAAATTCTATTTGGTTTGTGATTCGGATTTCAGATCTGTCCGAATTTTCCTTTCGGAATGATCAGAATTTTCGTTTCGGAATGAAATCACATGACCTTGCCTGTAACGCAACAGCCAACAACATCTGATTGGTCAGAGAACACTTAAATGTCCATTGTAGTTAAAATGTAGTTTAGCTTTACAAAATACGGACTGATCCGAATTTTAGTTTAACGGAATTTCGGATTCGTTCGCATTCGGCCGCGTTCAAATTCGGAAATTCAGATGCATCCGAATGTCCAAATTTAGCGAAATTTGTACAAATATCTATTCGGAACGAAATAAATTTACATGTTTATAGAATACACGTGTGTACTTCTTGTGCCTGGAAACATGCGTGATATTGTTGCCAGGTCCTGGCAGAGAAAATTGTTACATTCGGTGAAACGATCTTACGGGACTGTCTTATGTCTGTATTAAGAAGTAATTGCCCGCACACCAAGGTCCCATGCATCAATCCGTCCTTTTATTGAGGTCAGATACACATGGCATCACAAGCATAAAGCAACGTTTCGGAACCTAACATGGTCCCTGCATCAGGCATAAAGAAAAGTATTTCTATTGTCTGGAAACACGAGTGATATCGTCGTTCCCAGGTGGCTTGTTTTCTCATCAGAGAAAATTGTTACATTTGGTGAAATGGTCTTGCTGGTGACTTATTATGCCTGTGACTTATTAGTGAAAATGATACAGTGACTCAGTAGAAGGAAACTGGTAATGGGCACCTCATTCCCAGTACACAACTTTGATGACAATGGGTGAGGCTCCTGAGTAATGTGACTCGCTGCTGACCTTTATACCAGCCCTGCCGAGGTGTCTGAGTTAAACTCTGAACCGTGACAGGTTAACCAACAACTGTTATCAGCATTGACGAACATTAAAAATACCCCCTCTCCCCAAACAAAATGTGCTCTTACCTCCTCTGGGGTAACCTGGAAAGTCTCTGCGATCTTGGAGTACAGTTCCTTGACGTTGGTGAAGCCCTCAATCCTGCCGGTGGGGCTGCCATGGGCGAGCTGAGTGTGGAAGACCAGTTTGGGGCGCAGGCTGACGGGCGGGGGAGGCAGACCGGGCGCACCGTTGGCTTCGGGTAGCAATTTGCCGGCGCTGCTGCCGGCTGTCTTGTCGTTTACCTCCTCGCTCTCCACTAATTTTGAGGTTACCTCCTTAGCCTTCTTTTTGATCTTGCCTCTCAGTCCCAGAGGCATGTTTGCTGCGTAGTGGTGCAGTAATGGGTCGGAATTAATTAAGACCCTGGCTCCTGTTCCTTGTCCTCCTCCCTCCTCCTCCTCCTCTTGGCTGAAAGGTGTCTCTCTTGCTTGCTTGTCACTGAGCTGTCTCTTTGCATGCAGACAGGTAAGACACTTCCTGTTTGACTGGGAATAGAGAAACTCCCCTGGAACTCTCCAGCCCTCCCCTGTCCTCCTCCTCCCTATACATCACTGTACTCTGTACTTCTTGTCTGCATGGACTGAGATGTGCTGTATGCGGCCCCCCTCCTGGTCCTCTCCCCTCTGCTCTCCCATCTGCTGCATTCAATGTCACCAGCACTCCCAGTAACTCTTTTGTCACTGCGGTGTCAGCCATACATGCGTCGATCTGCAATTATTCCAGCCGTACACACGAAGGTTAAAACATTTATTGTCTGTGTTTTTTAACCTTTTATATAGATAGTAGATAGACAGATAGATAGATAGATAGATAGATAGATAGATAGATAGATAGATAGATAGATAGATAGATAGATAGATAGATAGATAGTAGTATAGACCTCAGCATTTTTGTATAGACAATTTTTTGTTTTTGTTTTGGATAACTAAGTCCATCCTTTCTCAACCAGGGTGCCTTCTGGCTTCCTCAGGGGGGGGGTTAAAAAAATTTGCATAGCGTCATGACATTCCAAGGTGCAGATAGGCTATTGATGTGTAGGGGGGAACTCTGATATAAAAAGGGGGGGCTCTGATGTGAAAACCGGGGGGACTCTGATGTAAAGGGGAGACACTGATATAAAAGGGGGGGCTCTGATGTGAAAAGGGGGACTCTAATATGAAAGGAGCGCTCTGATGTGACAAGGAGGACTCTGATATGAAAGGGAGATCTGATGTGAAGGGGGACTCTGATGTAAAGGGGACCTTGATACAAAAGGGGGGATCTGATGTTAAGAGGGGATTCGGATGTGAAAGGGGGGCTCTGATGTGAAAAGAGGGAACTCTGATGTGAAAACAGGGAGGCTCTGATGTGAAGGGGGGACTCAAAACAAAAAGGGGGACTTTGATGTGAAAACAGGGAGGCTCTGATGTAAAGCGAACTCATAAAAAAGGGTGGCTTTGATCTGAAAAGGTGGACTCTGATGTGAAAGGTGGGGACTCTGATATGAAAGAGGAGCTCTGGTGTAAAGATGGAACTCTAATATGAAAGGGGGACTCTTGTATGAAAAGAGGGGACTCTGATATGGAAGAGCAGCTCTGGTATGAAAAGGGGGGATTCTGATATGGAAGGGGGCTCTGATGTAAAGGGAGGATTCTGATATTAAAGGGGGGCTTTGATGACAAGAGAGGACTCTGATAAGAAAAGGCTCTGATGTAAAGGTGGACTCTAATACAAAAGTGGAGCTCTGACGTGAAGGAGGGCTTGTGGTGTGAAAGGGGGGACTCTGATGTAAAGGGTTAACTCCTGATTTGAAGGGGAGACTATGATGAGGAGGGGGAATACCTATTTTTTGTGCATGGGGTCTCCCCTTAAAATCCATACCAGTCCCCAATCTGAGATAAGGGTCTGGTATGGTTTATAGAGGGGCCGCATGTTGCTCTTTACATTTTAGACTGGGCTGCCTTGAGATTTTGCATTCTTGTGAAGGGTGCTGTAACTGAAAGAAGATTGAGAAACACTGGCGTTGGAACGGGTAAAACACCTGCCTGACAATACTAGATATAGTATTTAAATACTATTTATTTAAATACTATTTATTTCTGGTATGGTTAGAGAGACCCCCTCACTTCCTGTCTGGCAAAATGTTGCCAGCAAGGCAGAAAGTAAAGGAAAACCCTCTCCAAATGAAGCCGGCATAATAGCAAAAACCTGACAGGGTTTCTAATCCTTCCCCACTCAATCCAAAACCCAAAAAAGTTTTGGCTGGACATATACTTTAATGTACTTAACTTAGACCTTTCAGTGAAAACCCAGGTCTACCTATATTATGATCCCTACCCCATCCCTCCTGTGAGATTCCGGGAATACCAAGTATCACAAATCTCATGAGATTTGGCATACTCATAGTTCTCCGGGAACGTGACATCAACCACACCTATATTCAGATGGGACCCATCGCACTCCAGACCGGATTGTACCCTTAAAAGAGAACTATGGGGTAAGTGTTTTCCCCATAGTTCTCTTAAGGGTCACGGGAGGACATATACTAGCGTCCTCCCGGGACCCAAAGCTCAGTATATCGCGAGCTACAGCAAGCGGTATACTGAGACTGCCGCAGCCAGGACGGATCCCGACATTACTGTCGAGATCCACCCAGCTGCGTGAATGACAGCTGGCTCTGCCTAGTCACGGCTCTCTGCAGGGAGATGATCTAGAAGTAACGGTATACGTTCGCTCACTTTCCGATCTATTGAGCCGACGTGTGACAGTTTCATTGTCATATGTCGGCTCGCTGTGAGGATGAGTGATTTTCACTCACCCCATAGTTATCCTTTAAGTATCGGGTGGGTGCCATAGTGACAGCAGATGCCTCTGCAGATCAACGCAAAGTAAAGGAAAGTCAGCTGTTTGACACATGTGACGATTTAATAAAAAGTGCTTTACTTCTTGCACATATCTTCGAGTGCTGGTGACTTCTATTATAGACTGTATCTGACACGGCGCCATTTGTGTTGTCACTTCAAGCACCAACCTCTCATCTAAGGTCTGTACGCTGTATGGAGTGCAGGTGATTTCATATTATAGTAAAGGAGGGTCACTCGCACTCCAACTTGATTATTAGTCAATATTTATTGACCTCTGCAGTGCCACATCATAATAGCGACGTTTCAGAACTCTTTGTTTGCCTGAAGAAGGGACCCTGCGGTTCTGAAACGTCGCTATTATGATGTGGCACTAAAGAGGTCAACAAATATTGACTAATAATCAAGTTGGAGTGCGAGTGACTTTCCTTTACTTTACAGCGTACATCAACCACACCTAGGCATGGTGGGGGGAAGCTGGGGGAAGGTAACTATTTTTAATAACTTTTTTTACCAAATGTTTTTACTTTAAAGCTTATATTTGTAATGGTCAAGGAGGCCCTGATATATTAGGCAGACCTTGCTTTTAACTGCAAGATTTGCTTTAAGGGCTCATCACATACAACGTAACATTTAGGCATATTTTCCCATCCGGAAGCCACAGGCGCTGTATATGGCCACCCATAGAATTCAATGACTGTATGCGGAGGTATGCAGGTATATGCCAGTATTTTCATTTGCAAATAACTTTACCGCGCTTTGTAGCAGAAATTTTATTTTAGTGTCATTATAAGCAGGTCAAATTATACAATACCATTTTTTTTTATCTACACTATTTATTAGGGATGCACCGATACTTTTCAGATACCATTGCCGATACTTGGCATTTTCATGAGGACTACCAGCGTTGCAGCGGTTGCAGCTGGGACCTAGCTCTGGCGCTCCACCACTGTCCTGAAATCATTAGTCTGTATTGTTTTAGAAAATCTGTCACATGATAATAAACAAAAATGTATCAGTACTTGCAAAAATGGTATCGGTGCATCCCTTTATTTATATTTATAATAACAAAATCATACAATAAAACAGAGATGTACAAATCCCAGGAGCTCCGTGTGCTCCTTACAAATGACAGCTGCCTCCTAACTACTTGTACCGAGTACGGTACTCGGTATCGGTGCATCCCTATTATTTATTTAAAAAGTAACACTGGTCAAAACAGAAAAAAACACACAACATTTTGTTACATCTTTTGAAAATGAATTAATTTTTTACAGTCTAAGTGGCCTAGCCATAAATCCATCCCTGGGTACAACATGTCCACATTGCCACCCCAGAGGTCTTTCATAATGTCCATTATGATGACAAGGCCATGTGAAAGGAAGTCAAACATTAAAATGACCTTATCGTGAAAGACATGACATCCAATTCCAACATCCGCAAGGAAAATCTCAATGACTGGAATTAGAAGTTGCTCAGCGGCATGTAGGTTAGACATCAGGTCTCTGGGGATGGCCTTCAGATCCTCAGCTGTTCAGTGTTTGAAGAATTCTGTGCTGTTCGTTATGCTGGTTCCATCGGTAGTGGTTGAAAGTCCTTTTGATCCTTGCGCCAATACATTCAGGAATCACAACGGGAGAACGGGGAACTTGTAACTGTTCCATGAGTTTTACCAGGCCGAGATCTTCTTCTGTTTTGGGCTTTTCTTTTAAAGTAAATGGGTCATGTTATAAAAAAAGAATTTGTTTATTATTTGTACTTATCAGTGACGTGCAGTACGTTTTGTGCTGCGTGAGACATTTCCCCTGCCTGCCCCAGCCCCGCCCCCAGTCCCAACTGCCCCGCCCCCAGCCTGCTGACACCCCGCCCCCCAACACGGTCACCAAGCTATGTGTGAAGGAGGCATTGAGATTGATGTCCTCAGTGGGGTTTTGTTTTTCGTTTTTTTTTACTGGACAGCTTGGACCAATGGCGCTTTGCCATTGGTCCAAACCATCCACAGAGCTCAAGCTTCTAACACAAAATAGAGGCTGTTGCAGCTCTGGCCTTATTATGCTAGGTTACACAAGCAGTAGGGAAGCCCGCTGCTGTGTAACCTAACTTAGCTGTCAAAAGCCGGATGCAGCGCCGCCTGTAATTAACAGGCAGCGCTCCGTCTATGACAAGTTACACAGCGGGGAGGCTTTTCCTGCTGTGTAACCTGTTACAAACCGGTCTGAATGGAGAAAAAAGACTTGAAGCTGAAAGCCTTTTCCTCCATAATACCAGGTGAGGCTCTGCCTCACCTGCCTCCCCTGATTGCACGTCCCTGGTACCTGTATAGCACCCACAATTTATGCAGCACTTTACATACTGCACATTCACATCAGTCCCTGCCCTCAAGGAGCTTACAGTCTACTGTAAGGTCCTATTTCACATGCATGCATACTAGGGCTAATTTTAGACAGATGTCATTTGACCTACCAGCATGTCTCTGGAATTTGGTAGGAAACCGGAGCACCTGAAGGAATCCCACGCAAGCACAGAGAGTAGGGATGCAGCCATACCAATACTTGCATTTTTTTAAGGATAAAATGGGGTAAGGGTTAACTCCTGTCAGTTTATTATTTACTATCTGTTTCCTGTTGGGGAGATTTCTCTTCATTTCTTG